TGAAATGTATTGTAGAAAAAAAAACCTAATGAGTGAATTCAAGCTGTAATCAGTCTAGGTTGACTTCACGTTCACTCAACCAATGTCACAAAATTCTCATTTTTACAGTACAAGGAACAATAAATCACTCGTACTGGTGTTAGTCTACTGCTATATGTTTGTGAGCTGAACAGGGTAGTGGGCGTGTTGCACCGTGTCTTGTTCGATGCAAGACCTATAGTGACGTTTACAGCGTTTAAGATCATTTGTATACACATAATTTACAACACACGCTGCACCATGACCATCGCCAGTTATGGCCAGGTGTTGTCGAGGGTCACATCGCAGAGTATTGACGTTAACGTCACGTTATTTATATAACACATATTGTCACCAATAACTTTAATACATTGTACAGATTCCTCTCATTCTTAGCAACCCAACAATTGCACTGAAGATGAAGTTCTGCAAGTTTTAACTCAAGTCTTTCATTGTAGGCAATATACATGTATACATAAACATTGTACCCAACCAACTTGTCAGTGATTTATCACCTGACCTTGCTTTACTACTCTCTTCAGCTAATTACTCTGTTTTTACTCTGTTGATTTACTCAAATCAAGATTAAATTGTCCTAAGTTGTATTAAAAGTGGTTTAAAAATATTAGTATTAAACCATTAACTTTTAAATTATCAATAAACTGTCAGAATTTGGCTTTTTGACCATGTGAGGGCGCTATGCACTCTAGAAAACTAATTGCAGTAGTTTTCTAATGTTTGACAGAGATTTGATAAAGTTGACATATCTGTATGTCCTATATTATGTTATTTTAATGTTATGTTGTATTATTATCTTTCAGAGATGCTGAAAAACGTGTTCAAGCTATGGCTAAACTGCCGTCCAAAGTAGATGAGTCAAACAAAGATAGGCCTAATTCCGCTAATACAGACATTCCCAAGTCACATATGTCAAAGGATTTACCATTAAATGCTAGGCATAGGAGACGGGTAAGTTTTTAGAATTATATTACCTGACTTGTTAAGTGATTCATTAAAGAACTTTTCATACTAAAAGTTGACACATTCTTTTGAACATTTAGTCTCAAAATTGAATAAAATTTGTTATTTAGGCAGTAGGTGATGTTAAAAAAAATGGTTTTCATGAAAAAGATAATAAAAAATTTGGTGGCTTTTAGAGTATACAGGCTTGTATAAAAAAAAGTGACCAGGTGTTGTATGACTTGGATTTCTTTCAAATTGGTTTGTAAATGGTGCTTGATGAATTTGTGTGATTGAACAGACAGACTGACAGACAGTTTTTCGACTGAAATAGATTTGTTGGTGACATTTACCACTTCAGTCAGCATAAGTTTGTCAGTTTTTTTAGAGGATATCTACACAATTACTTACATATAAATGTAATACTGTTTCATTTTTTCAGAGGAGACAAAAGAAATTATCTGACGTAGACAATGTCCAACACAGTAGTCTATTTCCTAAAGTGTCTCAGGCAGCAACTCTACACAGTACAACGTTTCCCACAGCGTCATTTCCTGCAACGTTTCCAAAATTACATCATCATCACATGTTACCTAGTATTGCAAATTCTCACTACAACAAGCATCATCACCATCATCATCACCATCATAAGAAGGTATGCATGTCCTTTTTTAGCCACGATTTTTCTGTGTAACTTGCAATTTCTTTTCCTATTTACACATTTCTGATGTTTTACCAGTAAAAAGTACAATGGAATTAGAAAATGGAAGCATTGTTTTTTTTAATGCCATATATAACATATAATATAATTTTGGAATGTGTTTATTTATTGTCTTTTATAATGGATAATTATGAAGTCAATAAAATTTATGAGTTACAAACAAAAGTAGTGGTGGTTTAGTTGAGAAACTGGAAAATTCAGTAAATTTTTGACAAATTTTCATCTTGTACAGGATTCATGCTAGATATATACTGTTGATGTTAAGTAGGCTCGTAGGATTATGGTTTAGTCATATCATATTTATATTTTATGTATCCCTCGGTATTTGAATTTTATTGGAAAAGAAATTTATTGCTGTGAGAGAAACACAACAATGCAGTCAAAAATTTTCATTTCAAGCTCATGAGTTTTTTTTTTTGCTTTCTTTCAGTCCACTTATGACAGTCATACTAAAAACATGTACGGACACTATCAACTGCCGTCCATTGATAGAAGTGGTAAAGGCGGATTCTAATAACCAAATCATACTTGGTGTTTTACAAGATTTATTTGTATTGAGTACAGCCACCTTAGTGTGGAGGTTAGACGGTGGCCACTTATCGTTACATGAATGCAGTGAAGCTTTATAAACAAACACATCTACTGTAGCAGCATATCGAGGGCAACCCCAGTATATGGTTTTGATGAATTTTCCATGGTTTTTACATTTACAATCATGTACCGTTCAAATTGTAGAATCTAGAGTTATCTATTTTTGTAATAGAATTGTTTTAAAAAAAAAATTGTTGGTATTGTAAATATTTTTAATAAAATTGACTATCGCATACATATATGTGCTATTACCTCTGTTGATAAATATAATATAGATACTGTATAATGATGTTTTGATTTTTTTTTTATAATTGGTATTGTCATTGCTGGCAAGGACTGCTTAATTTGTTTTTGTTTAAATTTTTTAGCATGACAGTGTCTCTTTCTCGTTATTGTAAACAAAATAGTCTGATTTAGTGATATCTAAGTAACAACTATCATCACAAATAATATATTCAAACAGTATTTCTCACTTTTTCCGTCCTTTCAATGAATTATGTCTGTGTTTTACAGGTTTCTATTAATTTGTTATTTACATATAAACCACTATATTTGCCAGTCTTTTGAGAATTTCTATCTTACTCAATGTATCTCAAGCAGAGCTCATCAGACTTGTCTTCAAGGTCAGTTATTGGGCAGAGTTTTTAAACTTGTCCTTCATTAGAAACACTAATTTCTGAGTTTGTAATGCGACGGTACTGAGAGTCAAATGTTTGATTCAGTGAATTGAGCTTGTGTACTTGCATTTGATTAAGTGTTTTGTTTTGTTTGCCAAGATGGCTGCTGATAATTCACATCATTTTCATGGTATTATATAAGCAAGCAAATACCGCAAAAGATCACAAACTATAAATAGGTTGCACTTTTATGGGAAGACCCTGAAGTCTTCCTTGTATCTTGAATTGCACTGTTTCTTCAGTTTCAAGAATTCAGTTATATATATTCAGTTAAGAACACAAATCATGGCTGAAGGTAAAAACGGTTGTATATAGAAGGTAAGCCAAAGATCAGAAAATGAAGTTCTGCTAAATATGTGCAGACCAGTAGTCTGGTATTGGAAAATATTTTTGTACAGATACAATAGCTGAAATATGGAAAATCTTGATCCGTCCTTAAAGTTTTAATCGTTTTTGTCAAAGAAAAAAACATTTACTAAACAATTAAAAGTTAACAATATTTTAGCTTCTGTGTACTGAAAGTGCAAAATTATGTTTCGGGCAATTCTATCTGTTCCATTGAGATCCAGAATTATTTATTGCATTTATTGTCACATTGAACAAATAAAATAAAAAAACTAGCATTTTTACAAAGTGTACAGGAGCTCTTCTGAGTTTTACTTTGGTATGGGTTTCAAGTTGACTGGTCCCAGAGATGAAGCGCCCTCTATCTGAGGTTGGAGGTGTACTTTTTCGCTCTGTGCCTTGCTACACTTTATTCATTATGTACATTTTGTTTTTAAAGTATACCATGACTATGCAACCATTGTATGGAATGTTGAAGTCATTAAATACATTTTTATTTGGAAACGTATGCGGTGTATAATGTTAGTTTTTTTTATTCTCTCACATTATTCCACAGTAATTGTCTAAACAGTTTGAAAATCATGGGCGTTATAGTGATCGCTTTGGTGATGTGATGTGATGTGATGTGGTGGTGGTGGCGGTGGCGGTGAACTTGCCTTTAATTTGATTTAGATTTTCTATATTGATCATCGTGCACACAAACATGTTACCGGTATGAATTGTTGAAAGTTAAATTGTCGCCTGTGGGAAATCAGTTAGCGGTCATACACAGTCACTAGTGTAGCTCGATTGTCTCACTTGTATGTTCATTTCAGAAATAAACACACTATTAGAAAACGTGTATATTTCTGAAAAGAACATATAACTGATGCAAATATTTTGCACAGTGCTACATGTGAGGAACTATCAAATTTCGCAGTCAAGGTTAATAATTTTCATTCACCTTTAGTGAAGTTCTTATCACTATTCAATTACTAAAACTGTGTTTGACAAATCTAGACTTGTATCACCGAGACTAGTCCTCAACAGAAAATGTTCCCATTAGCGCAACCCTTGATTTCCTAGAAACTCTTGCATTCTGCAACAAACATTTTGAACTAGTGAAGTAATATAGTTACCCTTTTCTAGGTACCATCTTCGGAGAAATCAAAGATACTGCCAACCCCGATTCTTGGATCAAGTTATCTGGGCAGGAAATCGGTAAATTGATTCACACCCAATGTCTGACTGATCCAGGTATGAAAATGGATATGCAGAATACAGTGTTTTGTCCATCTGACAAACACTGCGAAAGATTCGGACAGTGTACATCTGAATTGATGACGTAGACTACCACTCTACACTCTATCATGAGCATGGTTGGACATGATGTCATCGGTAATAGCTCTGAATCTACCTCATGCAACACTGCGCGTACACCATAACATTTCAATGCTTTCGAGACGTGAGAGGCATCCCTGAAATAACTATTTCTAGAAATGGATTATCCATCTTGGTTGTTGGAGTGCTCTTCAACCTCCGCCCTTGATACCAACCGCCAACATCTTATCAGGCGTTTAGAGACAGCCAGGTTGGGGAGCTCACATGGAGGACCAACAGACAGTTTGTGTAGGAATATCTCAAAATATAATTTCATTTAATAGACAGCTGATTAGAACACTTATCAAGGAGCTAACCCAATCACGATTAGTCATCCTTGTTCCCCTTATTGTCATTAGTGCTGGTGTTCCGATTACGCACTGCCACTACCTGAAATACCTTTCCCGTCAGTCCCACTATAGAGAGACTGTGCTCAGTGGAGGCTGCAATAGACTAAATTTCATTGTTGTGGGACAAACTTACACAAGCATTAGTGGGCCATTAGTTTGATTTACCTGGGCATCATGTAGGTTGGGACAATCCTACAGTATATTGTAAAACTATGTTAAGTAATCAGAAGTTTTTTATATTTTACTATATGCACTGTCGTCAATTAGATATGTCTAATGAGATATGATTTACACCGCACTGTGATAAGTTTGTTATGCACAAATTATTTTGAGAACCCCAAAAATACACCTTGTCTATAATTCGCGCCCTCTAGCGTCAGGTTCACTTAAATGTTTTCTAAGCAGGTTCACCACCGTACATGTATCACAATTTATAGTCAACTTAAAGCGCGGTGGTCGTCGCTTAGCGCGTGTTCGAATTTCATGTAAATAAACAATGTATTTTACACGCGTTGAGTCCCATATCGAACAGGACGCGGCACGACGACTGCCGCCCTTTAAGGTCCAACCAGTTGGAACTTATATCGTCGGTATATCATGGAGATATCATACAAATAGCTTTATGTACCATAACCTATATCATCTGAAACTACAATTAAAATAGTTCCTTATCGCAAATGACAAGACAGTCTGCGAAGTGTGTAAGCAGAAATGGAATCGGAATCTGGTGGTGTTCTGATCCCGGGGGTGGTGTTCTGATTCTGCTGTTACATTTTTTTTGTTATCTGCTTCACTGTGAATCCCGAATGTTTGACTTATAACTGTACGTTCTTTGATGGTGTCAGGAGTTATGACACTAACAAGTTATATGTCAACTTTCTGCCTCCGGGTTGATAGCAGAATCTCTTGTAAGTTAAATTCTGCTTTTTAAAGTGATTGTTATTTTATATACGTCATATACTAACGTATATGACAAGTAATAAGCCTATCACTATTGGCAACCAGTGTTTGTATGTGAACACTGACGTGCATATATACTAAATGTTTGACAATAAATGTGTTTGCGCGCTGAAATATTAAAATAACAATTAAAGGGCGGCAGTCGTCGCGCCGCGTCCTGTTCGATATGGAACTCATAGCGACGTATACAACGCGTGTAAAATACATTGTTTATTTACATGAACTTCGAACACGCGCTGCGCGACGACCACCGCGCTTTAAAGTAAGGTATAATTGTTCGTCGTCCGAATCACGCAATTTGGGATAGATGAGAAAATGTGTCCGAATAGACGTACTCTGGTCATTCGCGGAGATTATTTCTACTTATTTTTGTATTTGCTTAATTTATTGAGTACGGGGTCTTGAAGAAATCAGAGTGTTATTTTCACCATATTATGCATATCAGCGCGTGGATAATCGTAAATACCAACCCTCATCGGCATACGCTCATCACACTGACCGAGGTGGCGCTATTCTGTAATTACTGTACTTGTATTTCATTCTAGATATTAAAATGAGATTGCCACTCACTTCAGCTCATCTGATTGATCTAATTACGCAACATAAGAGATAATAACAAGCACGTATTGTTTAAATAATTAATGGGCAAAATAAATCAATAATTGTTGATGTCTTCGAAGAATTGTCATGGATTGTAAAGGTTACGACTTAAAAAAAAATACTAGTATATATACCCGTCCATTGTGAAAAATCTTATATAGATAAGAAGTATAATAGCATACATTCATTATTTATGATATTCGCATTTGATAGTATTATCATGTGAAACCTGACTGTAATACGAACAGATTGACTATATATGTCACTCGTCTTGCACTGGTGTGTGTGTGTCACGTGACACTGGTACATGCAAACCTATAAATTATGCTTCAAAATACACCTACTATATGTGCGTAAATTGAAAAGGATAAGTCATTGTCAAAGGACAGTCTCCGTTTGTACTATAAGCGAGAGATTTTAAACTTTTTTAGTCCAACCATGTATGAGATATAACTCCCATTGTCAGCAAGTGCATTCGTTTATTAAACAATAATAAACACGATTTTGGATTTGATTGTGACAAAAAAAAATCATGTGTTTATCCGATATGATGTCCGATGCATATATGTGAATTTGATCACACCGTGCATGTCAGATGTGAATATTGAAAAACTCGATGCACGAACCCAATCAATTCAGTATCCGTATATGTACGATTTGAATAATATTGCTCTATGTGTGATGTTGAAAGATGATTTTGAAGAATGATGTACAGAAATATTTGTGTTTTTTTCCGATTTTTGTCAAAAACGCTCGTGGATAGACATTGAATTCCATCCACAATTTATTTGCGCTATTACATTCACATTCAAGTTGACCACAGTCCCTCCACCGAGGGACTGTGCATTGACTGAGCAACTGGCAATTGTATTTGAAAACTCTAATTAATTATTATATTAATTAATAATCTATTATTACTAGTCATAAGTTCAAAATAAGAGCCCTTATATAATTTTTCATTTTCTATTATACTTTTTTAATTGATGAACAATATTTTGATGGCCTAAAATCAATCAATAAACCACATCCATTCATTTGGACGATCGACCAATAATTCATGAGTTGCTGCATCGAATCATTATTTTTTATAACGTCTTTTACTATTCCAACATAATATTGAAGACTGAGTCGTAATTGTTATTACTTTTTCATATGTTATTGGGGGCGTTACTTGAATCCATGATTCTCAGAAACAGGATCACATATAATGTTCACTGAACAATAACGGTAGTGCCTAGAGCTCGTTAAACTGCCACAAATACATGACATATCTACCGATAACACAAAGTAAAATCGACTAGATGTATATATATATCTTTATTTCGTACTGGGGCCATTGGCCTTATGTACAGATACAAATAAATACATAATAAATTAGATTGGAATGGTCGCAGAAACAAGTAAAGAAAAACAAATATAAAATCATAATACATAACATTTGCATAATTAAGTGTTCTCTTCAAGCATAAGCTGACGTACTTGAAAACTATAAAATATAAATTTACCAAGGTTTAATTGTATATATGGGGTTTGATTCTGAAATAATGAAATAAACTTTATCTCTGTAGGTGGGGAGTAGTAATACTGTGCAATAAACTTCAACCTTAGGGAGTTATATTTGGGACAAACTAATGTAAAGTGGTATTCGTCCTCAATTACATTACAGCCAAAAGGACACAACCTCTGGTTACGTGGAGTACCACTGGCCCTACCCTTTTCAATTTGTAGTACATGGGACGAGATAAAGCATTTCTGTATATTGCATAAGACTGACCAATATTTGTAAGATATTTATCACATGTTAATTCATGTTTCACCTTACAATAAGTTACTAGTTTGAGACTTCTATTAATTTCAGAGCTCAAATCTTGTCTGGAAATATCAAAGCACCTCTGTTTAAATAGTTCCAGGAATGCAATATAATTACTTACATATTGGTCAATCCAAATATGTCCAAAACCATATTTATAGAGAAGATTTTTAACTGTCAAAGCCCAGCAGATAGTACCTGCTCCTGCCATATTAAGTTGAAATTGATACGATTCTTTTAAAATATGTGGAGAAACATCACGTATTAGTTTTAACCAAAAACGAATAATTTCAACATTTACATACACTCTAAGATAATGCCGTCCCAACCCTAACAGCGGAATTAGTGGCAACCAAACTAACACTTAGTAAAAATTTGCAAAATTTATTGTGTACTCTCTCCACATCATTAATATCAGAATGTGTGCCC